AAAGTGAGTCTGTATTCCACCTCCAAAGCTGATGTATTTATTTATTTATTTATTTATTTATTTATTTATTTATTTATTTATTGCATTTGTTGACCGCCGTTCTCAGCCCCTTAGGGCGACTCACGGCGGTGTACAACATATAAAAACAGTTTACAATACATATAATTAAACTAAATCATCCGCGTCGTCTCATCATAGAATCATAACCCAATCTCATAGTCCATATTCCGTTCCAGTCGTCATTGCCAATTGTTATAGCACTTAGTTAAACGCCTTTTCGAATAACCATGTTTTTAGGCTCTTACGGAATGCCATAAGTGAGGGCGCCTGTCTGATGTCAACAGGGAGGGTGCTCCATAGCCGGGGGGCCACCACTGAGAAGGCCCTGTCTCTCGTCCCCGCCAGACGTGCCTGTGAGGCAGGCGGGATCGAGAGAAGGGCCTCCCCAGATGATCTCAAGGCCCTCGTGGGCTCATAGGCCGAGATGCGGTCAGAAAGGTATTTTGGGCCGGAACCGTTTAGGGCTTTGTAGGCCAACACCAGCACCTTAAATTGGGCCCGGTAGCAGATCGGCAGCCAGTGGAGCTGGAACAACAGGGGCGTTGTGTGCTCCCTGCGTCCTGCTCCTGTTAGTAGCATGGCAGCCGCGCGCTGGACTAGCTGAAGCTTCCGGGCCGTCTTCAAGGGCAGCCCCACGTAGAGAGCGTTGCAGTAGTCAAGTCGGGATGTGATCAGAGCGTGTACCACCGTGGCCAAGTCAGACTTCCCGAGGTACGGGCGCAGCTGGCGCACGAGCCTAAGCTGTGTGCAAATGCTCCCCTGGTCACCGCTGAAACCTGGGGATCCAGGCTCAACGATGAATCCTGGATCACACCCAAGCTGCGAACCTGCGCCTTCAAGGGGAGTGCGACCCCATCCAGCACAGGCTGTAACCCTATACCCTGTTCGGCCTTGCGACTGACCAGGAGTACCTCTGTCTTGTCTGGATTTAATTTCAATTTGTTCGCCCTCATCCAGACCATTACAGCGGCCAGGCACCGGTTCAGGACCTCGACAGCCTCCTTAGTAGCAGGTGGGAAGGAGTGACAGAGTTGGACATCATCTGCGTACAGATGACACCGCACCCCGAAACTCCGGATGATCTCACCCAGCGGCTTCATGTAGATGTTGAACAACATGGGGGACAGTATAGAGCCCTGTGGAACCCCACAGGACAACGGCTGTGGTGTTGAACAGGTGTCCCCCAATAACACCTTCTGGGTGCGACCCTCCAGAAATGACTGGAGCCCCCAAGACCCATTTCCGCAAGGCGCCCCAGAAGGATACCGTGGTCGACGGTATCGAAGGCCGCTGAGAGGTCCAGGAGCACCAACAGGGACACACTCCCCCTGTCTAGCTCCCGGCGCAGATCATCCACTAAGGCGACCAAGACCGTCTCAGTTCCATGTCCCGGTCTGAAACCAGACTGTGCCGATCCAGATAATCCGTGTCTCTCAAGAATACCTGGAGTTGTGAGGCCACCACGCTTTCCATGACTTTGCCCAAAAAGGGGAGATTGGAAACAGGCCGAAAGTTGTCAAATTTAGTGGGGTCCAATGATGGTTTCTTCAACAGCGGTTTTATAATAGCTTGTTTTAAGCTCGCTGGAATCTTGCCTTCCCGGAGGGAGGCATTAACCACCACCGTTACCCACTCAGCCAATCCCCCTCTGGCCTCCTTCAGAAGCCAGGATGGGCAGGGGTCTAGGATGGACGTGGTAGGCCTCATTCCTCCAAGTATCTTGTCCACATCCTCGGGCTTCACAAACTGAAAAGAATCCATCAAAATAGGACAAGCAGGTGCTCGTGTCACATCCTCAGAGACTGCATTTAACATGGTGTCCAGCCCAGAACGGATCAAGGCGACTTTGTCTGCAAAGAACCGAGCAAATGCTTCGCAGCGCGTGGCCGAATTGTCAGGGCTCCCGCCTGAGGTGGCGGGAGTTAAAAGACCTCTGACAATCCGGAACAACTCCGCCGGACGGTTCCTTGCAGATGCAATAGTGGCCGCAAAGAAAGTTTTCTTTGCGGCTTTTATTGCCGCGGCATATGCCCTTAAAAAGGACACAAACCGTGTTCGATTTGGCTCGCTCGGATCCGAACGCCACACGCTCTCTAGTTCCCTCTTCCTTCGCTTCATCACTGCCAGCTCCTCAGTAAACCAAGGAGCTGGTTTAGCTCGGCTACTTGAGAGGGGACGTTCCGGAGCGATCATGTCAATTGCCCTGGCCATCTCCCCATTCCAGAGAGCGACCAAGGCCTCGACATGGTCACCTACCGAGGTGGCGGGAAAATCCCCAAGAGCCGTCAGGAATCCATTCGGATCCATAAGCCTCCTGGGGCGGACCATCTTAATGGGTCCTCCACCTTTGCAGAGGTTAGGGGGCGCAGTGAGCCTAAATCTGATCAGGAAGTGGTCGGTCCATGGCAACGGAGAGATGGATAACTCCTCCACACCGCCACCCTGCTCCCATCCCTGCAGAAAACCAAGTCCAATGTATGTCCAGCACAGTGGGTGGGGCCAGATATTTGTTGGGACAGCCCCATGGTTGCCATGGCAGACATGAAGTCCTGAGCCGCTCCTGTATCTCCTCCTGTAGATACTTTGGAAAAACCTAGTTTATAACTTACTGTTTAAAGTTACTGAGCACAGAATATATGTCTGCAGAGTAATAGGAATTCACATTTTAAATAGGTTGTAGCATCCTATTTTAATCAAAATGTCTGTTTTTCAAGATCTGAACTTCTAGCCCCTTTTCAATTTTTCTGCTTTTTTGTTTCTGTGGGAATATGTACATGCCACAATTGAGAGAAGGGACTGCAGCAGAACCCTTCCACTATATGACTAAACCGCTTACAAACTCTTACTTCATATGCATTGCCAAGATTATACAAAATGCCCTGAATATTACCACAGGTTGGTGACATAACATGTAATAACTTCCAGAAAAGGAAGTTAATCCTGGGGAGAGAGGGCGGGCTATAAATAAAGTATCATTATTACTACTGACGAGTGAACACATATCCCCATATTATATCTGTCCCAACTATAGTTCTGTCCTCATGACACACATTTCCTTGTCTTTAATGAAGACTCAATCCCATTGGTTGCCCCTTCTGAGCTCCCCCACAGACATATACTTCTCCATTTACTTATCTCACCCAGGGTTTTATCAATCTTATTCTGTGCATTTGGACCGCCCACCATCCCTTTATTTTATTTCTTCATCACATTATTTTGCATCTGTTTATTTCATTTTCTGATATTTTCTGTATTTTATTTTGATGTTATTATTTGCTGTTTGTATTTTATTTTATTTTGTTGTACTGTAATTCTGGGCTTGGCCTCATGTTAGCTGCCCCGAGTCCCCTTTGGGGAGATGATAGTGGGGCTTAAATAATAATAATTTATTTATTATTTATTTATTTACTGCATTTGTTGACCGCCGTTCTCAGCCCTAGGGCGACTCACGGCGGTGTACAACATATAAAAACAGTTTACAATAAGGCAATATCACAACAGAATATCAACATAACTATCAATAATACAATTACACTAAATCATCCGCGCCGTCTCATCGTAGAATCATAAACCAATCTCGTTATCCATATTCCGTTCCAATCATCATTGCCAATTGTTGTAGCACTTAGTCAAACGCCTTCTCAAATAACCATGTCTTTAGGCTCTTGCGGAATGTCATAAGGGAGGGCGCCTGTCTGATGTCTACAGGGAGGGTGTTCCACAGCCGGGGGGCCACCACCGAGAAGGCCCTATCTATTATAATAATAATAACTTTACTGGCCAAAGGCTTGTTTCCATAGCCATGTCTTCACTTTTGTTCTGAAGGCCAAGAGGGAGAGCACTGATCTGATTTCACTGGAGAGGGAATTCTATAACCAAGGCGCCACCACTGAGAAGGCCCTGTCTCTCATCCTCACCAACCGCACCTGCGAAGGAGGCGGGACCAAGAGCAGGGCCTCAAAAGATCTTAACCTCCAAGATGGTTCATAGGGGGAGATGCATTCAGACAGGTAAGCTGGGCTGGAACCATTTATGGCTTTATAGGTTAAAGCCAGCACTTTGAATTTTGCTCAGTAACAGACTGGCAGCCAGTGGAGCTGCCGTAACTGGGGGTTGTATGCTCCCCATACGCCACTCTGGTGAGCAATCTGGCTGCCGTTCTTAGATGACTGGGAGCCTCCAAACAGTCTTCAAAGGCAACCCCACATAGAGCCTGTTGCAGTAGTCTATACAAGACGTAACAAGAGTGTGGACCACATCTGTGGGGGATGCATTGCTGAACTCACAGTGAAATCAGGAAATCATGGATAATAGCAACCCCCATTGTGGTAACATCCTCTGCCAGAAGTTACCACAATCAGGGTGGGGCACCTAGAAAATTCCTAAAGGAATTTGCAAGTGCAACTCTAGATAGGACATATTTTGTCAGATGTAGGGAGGTGAAACTTGGGTGCCAGTCCCATAGGACACACTATATTTGTCATTTCTGTCTTTTTAAAAAATAAAAGTCAGCCACTGAAAATTAGGAAATGTATGAGGGTTAGATGGGAAGAGGAAAAATGTATAAGAAAGACAGATAAAATGTGAAGGAAAGGAAGGGAAGAATCAAAATATATGTATTTCTTTATATACCAAATGACGTTTGCTTTAAAGAGGGAAATTCTGAATTCCAAATTCATATTGGCTTGCTGATTTTCCAGGAAATCTAACAGGACTATTCCACTGTCACAAGTGATGGTGAGCTACTCTTCTTGACTCCTGGGCAGAAAGGAAACATCATCTCAACCTCTATTTCTTATGAACTCAATCTATTTATTTAAAATAACAGAGGATATTCCTTCTGATCTCATTACTAACATGCTAAACTATGTCTATCTCAGTCATTTGTAAACACAATAATGTGTAAATGTAGTGCCATGTTTCCAGAAGAACATCTCTACCTGACTCCAAAAAGAACTTGAATGAGGGTGCAGATCCCTGAGACGAAAAAGAAGGTGCTGATGAGGTGACTCTGGGTGATGGCATCATGCTCCAGGCAAAGGGCTCTGGAAAGGATCAGCGGGATGGACACAAGACCTCCAAGGGCAGTCAGGTAGTGCTAAAACCAGAGAAAGAGAAAGGCAATTAGAGAAAAAGGCTTTGGGTTGAGTCAATATGAACAGCTCCTGGATAACTACTGTCTCTGAACACTGCATCAAGTTGGAAAGTTATTTTTTAATAACACTACTGTAACTCAGTGCAAACTGCCCCAAAGGTAATTGATTAACATCAATGATGGGTTTTTGTCTTTTAAACTGTAACTTGCTGCATTTAAATGGTAAGAAAATGGCTATACTTGGGGAAGTGGGACCCCTAAAAATGCCTCCCAAGTAATTTAGTATTTTAACCTACAAAAATAATGAGACAAAAGTAACAAGTACACGTTACTCATTAGACAAACACACCAATACGCATACTAATGAAGATATTAATCCTCAGTTTTTAAAAGAGTGCCATTGTGTCCTTTCCCCCCAACATTACAGGTAACATAATTGTGGTGCATTGCCTCCAAACTAAGCTACTAGATTAAATAATAATATAATTATATATATATTATGAAAATCACATTTACAGTCGGCAAAGCTGTTCCATATAACACAAAATAGTAAATAAAGCTATATGGCCTGTCTTATTCTGTATTGTTTCTAATTTAAACAAGAAGAGACTGATAAGATACAGGTCTCTGGTGGTTGAGGGAAAGGCTTGTGAAATAAGAACACGGGTCTTTCCATTTTTCCTACTTACTGAAAGAGAGATCTGTGGCAAACAAGTATTTTCCAGTAATATTTATACAGCAATGGCTGTATAGCCATGTTCCAGAAGCATTCTCTCCTGACGTTTCATCCGCATTTATAGCAGGCATCCTCAGAGGTTTTGAGGTCTGTTAGGTAAAGGTAAAGGTTTTCCCCTGACATTAAGTCCAGTTGTGTCTGACTCTGGGGTGTGGTGCTCATCTCCATTTCTAAGCCAAAGAGCCAGCATTGTCCGTAGACACCTCCAAGGTCATGTGGCCAGCATGACTGCATGGTGCACTGTTACCTTCCCGCCAGAGCAGTACCTATTGATCTACTCACATTTGCATGTTTTTGAACTGCTAGGTTGGCAGAAGCTGGGGCTGACAGCGGAAGCTCACGCCGCTCCCCGAATTCAAACCTGTGAATTCAGCACAAACTACTGGATCTGGAGCTGTTCAGGGACACATGTATATTGGATTGAATTGCCCAGACTAGATGAGTCCTAAGAAATGCTATCGAAGAATATGGGGCATAATTGCTCTGAGACAGTCTCAGAAATCCAAACCAATACTGACAGAATAATCGATGCCATTGTAACTTTTATATACAATGAAGGTAGTTTTATTCAACATATATGACTCACACATCGGTTGATTTTAATTTAATATGAATTTATTATTTCATCTCAGACACAACACACACTTTACAAAACAATTTTGGCAGGATGATTTTTTTTCCAGGCTCACCTGAATTCCCAAGAAGATGCAGAGATACCATGGTGGGATATCTGTAACAATGTAAGCAAGTCTGTTGCTCTCTTTGCCGTAGCCTTTATGCCTTTCTTCACTATCTGGAACTGTAGCATCACCTTCATTGAAGCTACAATAATGGTCTCCTTCATCAGTCTGCAGAACAAAAAAGGGAGAATATTCCAATAAGTGGCTAAGGACACTATCACTTTTTGTCCTGAATGGCACATATACAAGTATATTAGAATACTTCATTAGAGCCTCCAGTCTTTAAAACAAATCATTTCTTCTCTAAAGGCCTCTAAACACTCTCTGAGGGCATGGGGAAAAGTCTGCCATGTTATGCTCCACAAAGCTTTTTTTTTTTTTTTTTTTGCTTACTTTCCTGAAAAGCCTTAGTTTTTCGGGGACTCTTGCTGAATAAATGCATACTTTAGTTAATAACTCATTAGAGGGGTTATTGATGCCCCCCTTCTAACCCATACTCTCATAGCACATTCACATTAGGCTGTTTAGTTCATTTGATCCAGCAGTTAGATAACTTATCCATCACTGCTATTCCTTATTATTATTATTATTATTATTATTATTATTATTATTATTATTATTAGTTATATTACAAATTCAAAAAATGGGTGGAAGTGGGGTAGGAAAGCAAAAAGGGTTTGTATGGTAGGATAAGGAATCATTAACACACACCTATTACCACAGCCACCTGGTGGTGCAGCAGGTTAAACCGCTGAGCTACTGAACTTGCTGACTGAAAGGTTGGCCGTTTGAATCCGGGGAGTGGGATGAGCTCCTTCTGTTACCCCCAGATTCTGCCAACTTTCTACAAATGTGAGTAGATCAATAGTTACTGCTCCAGCGGGAATATAATGGCGTTCCATGCAGTCATGTTAGCCACATGACCTTGGAGGTGTCTACGGACAACGCTAACTTTTCAGCTTAGAAATGGAGATGAGCACCACACCCCAGAATAGGTTATGATTAGACTTAATGTCAGGGAAAACCTTTACCTTTACCTATGGTAGGACAAGGAACGACTAAAAATAAACAATAAATTAAAAAAATTAAACTATTGCAAAGGGTATGGGTGAGAAACAAAGGGAAGGATTGGGAAGGGAAAGGGGGGTTGGTTTGACCTCTAAACTTCTTCATCACAGTTTCTAAGGGTCCTTCCACACAGCCCTATATCCCAGGATATCATGGCAAAAAATCCCACATTATCTGAGTGTGGACTCAGATAACCCAGTTCAAAGCAGATAATGTGGGATTTTATGCCTTGATATTCTGAGATATATGGCTGTGTGGAAGGGCTCTAAGTTTTTTTCTAAGTCTTGTTTATTTTTCTCTTTTTTTCAAAAAAGTGATAGTAACTGCTGTTTTTTTTTTACAGAAAGAGATAGTAACATGCCATGAATAATTCCATTTGCGCTGTGTTTTCCTCTATCTTCAGCATGATACACCACATGCATTGTGCTATTATTAGATGTGCATCCTGAGTAGGAAAAGGATAACCAGTTGGAGCTGATTTCTCCATTGCTTAAGAATTCAGTTTACATTTCTCAAGTTACAAGGACTGTCATGAGGGAGGAAGGAGAAAGTTGAAAGCCGGCACCCAAAAGTCTGAGAAAAGAAGGGGTGGCTATTAAAATAGGCAGCAGGTCAAGGGCCCTTCCCACACAACTCTATATCCCAGAATATCAAGGCAGAAAATCCCACGATATCTGCTTTGAAGTGGGTTATCTGAGTCACTCAGATAAAGTAGGATTTTCTGCCTTGATATTTTGAGATTGTGTGGAAGACCCTTTGATGCGGAACACTAATGGCTACATAACCAGAACGGCAGTCTTCTGATATATCTACAAAGACATATCAGAAGGGCCATTGACAGAAGGTTTAGGATGCAGTACAGAAATGTTTCATATGCCTTAACAAGGACAGAGTGAAGTCTTTCTTTGGAAATGCCCCACAGGTTCACAACTCACAACTCACTATTCAGAATTCCATATCCACGAAAGGCAAATTATATATTTTGTTAAGAACCATAGGAAGCTCATCATATTTGTGGGGTGGGGATGCATGTCCCGTGAAAAAGTTGGAGAAAACCCCCAGTAAAAGACTTCCACTATTTCTTTAAGTGGAAAGAACACCTCTCTGGGACTGTCTAGTTCAGGCATGGTTAGCTGAGGGGGAAAAGGAAAGGGCCTGAGGCTGTTAGGAATTGTGGGAGTTAAAGTCCAAAACACCTGGAGGACCCAAGTTGAACCATGCCTGGTTTAGTTCCTTCAGCATGACCAGAACTTCCACCGGAAGTTGAATCACACATGAGGACCTAGAGAAATTCTTAGAGATAACATTTCAATCAAATCCATACATAATTAAATCTGCAAAAGCCAAACCCGCAAACGTGGGAGAACCAGTTGCACATTAAAATATAATTATATTCTCTTTGTAATATTTAATGAGTAGGTCTTTGGTTGATTTAGAGCCCAGGGTGGCCAATAACTGACAGAATGTTATGCATCATTACTGTTTTCTTTGAAATCCACTGATTTTGCAATGGAGACATAGATATATGCACACACACACACACATATACATACATACACAAATAATGAAACAAAACCAAGCATAAGAAACCAAATATTTCTACTAGCTCCGTACACTAACAAGCTGGAATGTGTCCAGAGAAGGCTGACTAAAATGTTCAAGGGTATGGAGAACAAGCCCTATGAGGAGCAACTTAAAGAGCTGGGCATGTTTAGCATGAAGAAAAGGCTGAGAGGAGACATGATAGCCATGTATAAATATGTGAGGGGAACTCATAGGGAGGAGGCAGCAGGCTTGTTTTCTGCTGCCCTGGAGACTAGGATGCAGAACAATTGCTACAAACTACAGGAAAGGAGACTCCACCTGAACATTAGGAAGAACTTCCTGACTGTGAGAGCTGTTCAGCAGTGGAACTCTCTGCCCTGGACTGTGGTGGAGGTTCCTTCTTTGGAGGCTTTTAAACAGAGGCTGAATGACCATATGTTTGGGGTGCTTTGAGTGTGATTTTCCTACTTCTTGGAAGGGGGTTGGACTGGATGGCCCGCGAGATCTCTTCCAACTCGATTCTATGATTCACTCCTGGTTGACCTTGGATATAAGGAATTTTTGGGGAATACCAAAATGTGTACACAAGTACAAAGAATCTTTGGGGAACAAAAATCTAAGGAGGCGATTCCCAACAGTTTATGAGATGCTGAGCTTCTGCTGTGGGTAAGAAAAAAGAGTATGTGTTGTGGGAAGCAGTCTTTAATACAGTATCTGACATGAGAGAATGAATGGATGGATGGATGGAACTCTAGGCAGAAGAATACTAAAGTTGATTACAAAGTTCAGGGAAAATTAGATATCAACATTTCCTGTGTTTCAGTTTGGGTGTGTGCAGGAAAATTTGGTAAGTAAAGATAAAGTTTCTCCTTGACATTAAGTCTTGTCGTGTTTGAGTCTAGGGGGTGGTGCTCATCTCAATTTCCAAGCCGAAGAGTCGGCATTGTCCATAGATACCTCCAGGGTCATGTGGCTAGCATAGAGCACCGTTACCTTCCCACCAAAGTGGTAACTATTGGTCTACTCACATTTACATGTTTTAGAACTGCTAGGTTGGCAGAAGATGAGCCTAACAGCGGGAGCTCACAATGCTCCCCGGATTCAAATTGCTGACCTTTTGGTCAGCAAGTTCAGCAGCTCAGCGGTTTAACTCACTGCACCACTGGGGGCTTCCAAAAAATTGGTAGTTTAATCTAAAATGAGGGCTGCAATAAAGAAAGAGCAATATACATATTGAAAGACCATCGAAAAGTATTGTCGAAGGCTTTCACAGCCAGAATCACTGGGTTGTTGTAGGTTTTTCAGGTTGTATGGCCATGTTCCAGAAGCATTCTCTCCTGATGTTTCGCCTGCATCTATGGCAGGCATCCTCAGAGGTTGTGAGGTCCTCTCAGCCTCCAAGGATGCCTGCCAGAGATGCAGGCAAAACATCAGGAGAGAATGCTTCTGGAACATGGCCATACAACCTGAAAAACCTACAACAAACTATCTAAAAGCCTTACATTTCCTTAAAATGCAAACAATATGTCTCTGTTATATAGACTTTCATACACTGAACTGGGAATAAAGCAGCAAGAGTCCTTGCTCTCTCTCTCTCAAGTAGAACAAAATGATAGCAAATTAACTCTGTTTTTGTGAGGTGATGTGTCTCCAAAATTTTTATAATATCTGACAATCTGAAGGCAATGCTATCACTAGCAAAACATAAAGTAGTCCATAGGATCATCTTTCTTATTTTTCAAACTTAAAAGAAGTGAATAGGAAAAGATTGCATTTGGATTTTTAAAACTAACCTGATTGAACTTATAATTTAACATTGATCATTCTGCCCACTTCTGTCACTCTCTTACCTACTTCTCTTGAAGTTTATTTGTTTTAACATTTAAGAAACAGAGGCAGAAACTTACTACAAAAGTCGGGTTGTCCAGTCCATTTGAGTCTTTGTCCGAGGGGGTCATCTCCACTCCGACGTTCCTTCAGCAACTTCCTTGAAATACCAGAGAAAGGGGAAAGAGGAGAACGCTACTGAAAACCTCATGCTTCAAATCCTGAACAAGCGGCAATGAAAGAAGCCAAATGAGCCCGACTCACAGGAATCCAAATTCATTTTCAGGCTCTCATGTGAGAATTAATGCAAAGGAATTTCCCTCTTCACTAGATTGCTCAAATAATTTCCATCTCTCTTTCTGCTCAGTCAGCCCAGAGTGTGTTGAAACTGCCTTGCTTGAGACTGTTCAGCGAATGAATAATTGAAAGTGTAATTTTTTTCTAATGATCACTAATTTCTATGTAAAACAATTGAGTGTTCCTTTCCTATATTAATTAGTGTATTTTGCCGAAGAACTCAGACTCATGTAACTTTTTAGGAGCCCCTGGTGGATCAATGGGTTAAACCCTTTTTCCGGCAGGACTGAAGACTGACAAGTCGGAGGTTTGTATCCGGGGAGAGCGTGGATGAGCTCCCTCTGTCAGCTCCAGCTTCTCATGCTGGGACTCCCACAAGCATGGTAAAACATTAAAAACATCTGGGCACCCCCTGGGCAACATCCTTACAGACAGCCAATTCTCTCACACCAGAAGTGACTTGCAGTTTCTAAAGTCGCTCCTGACATGGAAAAAAAATCTAACTTTTGATAGTGAAAAAAAGAGAGTGAGAAAAGAATAGCTAAATGTAAAGATGGGGAAAGGACTTCAAACCTTACAGGTATAGTCGAATCCTCCTGTCCTTCCTACACTGGCAATAATATTCCTTTCTTTGGACTGCTACTTATATTATTATTGTTACTTCCTTCTCTTATTCTGTTTGCAAATGCTTACTTGGCACTAGCCACTCCCTCACCCCAAAGTCTATGGAAGTCCAATAGTGTTTGTTATTACCTAGTAATAATGGAAATAGAAGAACTGTTGTCAAAAAGAACTTTTCAAAACCACAAGGCAAATATGACTTGAAGGAATTTGCACAAGAGATTTTCATCACTACAGTTGTGCTAATAAAACAAATAGGGAAAGGGAGGTCTCTTGCTTTGCTGGATATGCATCCTTCCTTAAGTCAATTCAGTGATGTAGCGCCAATGGGATGCATACAGATTGCCTCCTTCGTGTCATATTCAGTATGTAACCTTGGGCTTTACAACACATCAGGACAAAGTCCTGATTCACACCGTATTTTCCCAATCCACTTAGACCTGTTAGCACAGTGTTTCTCAACCTGGAGGTCGGGACCCCTGGGGGGTTGCAAGAGGGTTTCAGAGGGGTCGCCAAAGACATCAGAAAACATATTTTTGATGGTCTTAGGAACCCCTTTTGCAGAGAAGGCTGAAGATCTCTCCGCCTGCCCTTCTCTTCCTTTTTGGAAACAGACAGCAAATCCTCCCAGCAAAAGCCCTCCTCCACTGTGATTGGCTGGCCGCTCAGCTGGCCTCTCACCCAAGGGGAGGGCTGTTTCTGAGACTCCAAGTGGAGAGGGGAGAGCAGGCGTGCTTGGTGCATGGCAGAGTGGTGCACATGTGCTGGCGAGGGAGAGCGTGCAAGGCTGGAGGGAGGCTCGCACCAGCGAGTCCCTTCAAAGCATGGGGCTTCTGTGTGGGAAATTTGGCCTAAATCTCCATGTTGAGAACCACGGATCTAAGGTGTTTTTAGCCATCCTGTTATATGAAGTTGTGTTAATACTGATTTATTAGTATACTGATCTGTGAATATCTGCATACATGTTCCTTCTAACAATAATAATCATTTTTTTAAAAAATCCTGGTGGAAATGATCATATGACTTACTGGCACTTGTCACCCCACCACCACCAATCAGTTTGGGGTGCCCATAACTCTTCCTCCAGCTCCACTGCAAAGACGCCTTTTAGAGTCAGCTGCACACAAGGATCCCCCAGTGGTACAATGGGTTAAACTCTTGTGGCAGCAGGTTCAACTCCAGGGAGCGGGGTGAGCTCCCACCTGTCAGCTCCAGCTTCTCATGCAGGGACATGAGAGAAGCCTCCCACAGGATGGAAAAACATCTGGCTGTCCTCTGGGCAACATCCTTGCAGATGGCCAGTTGTCTCACACCAGAAGTGACTTGCAGTTTCTCAAGTCTCTCCTGACATTTTTTTAAAAGGTACACACACACAAAATCTCATTTAGCCACTTTGAATAATAATAACTATTATTATTATTATTATTATTATTATTATTATTATTATTATTATTATTATGTCCATCTAGTCTTTTTGGCAATTCAGAGAACAACCTTCATATTACAACTGTCCTCTAATGGTGTCGTCAGGGTTAGGGTCACCCAGTGTGGCAACTTGTGGTGTCACCCCATGAAACTCCTCCCATACCTGACCAGACCACAAGACTGTAGCTAAGATATCAGAACATTTGACAAAATCAGCACTATAAAACAAAAACCAGTAGCAACGAAAAGAACAGTGTATGCTTGTATATCAAAATATAATTGTAACTGGGTGGTAATGACATCTCTGATTGAAATGCATGCACATTAGAAGATTCAAAAAGCAAATTAGCTCTGTAGGTAAATTGATTTAGTACATGCAACCTGGGCTCATAGGTGAAAAAAGCAACTACAGTAGAGTCTCGCTTATCCAATTGAAACAGGCCGGCAGAACATTGGATAAGCAAAAATGTTGGATAATAAGGAGGGATTAAGGGAAAGCCTATTAAACGTCAAATTATGTTATGATTTTACAAATTAAGCACCACAATCGACACAAAAAGCAGTTCAATACACGGTAACATTATATAGTAATTACTGTATTTATGAATTTAGTACCAAAACATCGCAATGTATTGAAACAGCTGTGGATCCGGACGGGAAGTAGACTGCGTTGGATAATACAGAATGTTGGATGAGTGAAGGTTGGATAAGCGAGACTCTACGGTATATCTAACTACAATAATATTTTTATTTAAAATATTAATATATATCCGCTGGAGCACTGCATAACATAGGCAGTTGTTTTGGCGTCACCCTTCTGACGGTGTCACCCTGTGCAATTCTCACTCCTTGCACCCTGTAGTGAAGCTGCTGTATTGGACTGGAACTTCCATCATCATTTGACATACAGGGTGATGACTGTAGGAGTTTTAGTCCTACACATTTGGGGAATGCAGTTTAGGAAAAGCTAGTTTTGGAGGGCTTTTTGGAAAACAATATTATTATTGCATTAAATCCAATAGTCCCACTTCTGTAAGTTCCAGTGATTCCACAGGACTATTCTACTTGTGAACTAGAATCATAGAATCATAGAGTTGGAAGAGACCTCATGGGCCATCCAGTCCAACCCCCTGCCAAGAAGCAGGAAAATTGCATTCAAAGCACCCCCGACAGATGGCCATCCAGCCTCTGTTTAAAAGCCTCCAAAGAAAGCCTCCAAAGAAGAACTAATGATATTTTACCCTTATTTTACAAGTAACCTAACAGGCAGTTCATTTGCTGCCTCCTTTCCTTCAAAGGAAATTGTTTTGCAAATCCTTAAACTGAAGCAGTTGACTCAATATTCCCCAAACTCTAAGGACTGTCTAAAAGATATTATTATGGGGGAAAATGTTATAGATGTTTGGGCACTAAACAAAATAAAATTCTGCATGAAGCAATCATATTATTGCATACGTATAGATTTATATTTTTATTATGTTGCATTTATTTGATCCAGCCAATACATTATTAATTAAGGGGGAAGGATTAAAACCAAGTACACTGCTTCTGAAAATCTTAGACACCTCTATCTTTTGAATCAGCATGATTAAGCCAATGAGGAACATGCAAACTCTCTAATATCTGCAGTTAAAGGACTGAAAACTTACCCTTCAGCAAAATTAAAGATGCTCTGAGAAGCACAGGCTCCTGGACTCAGAAAACCACTTGCTTTGCTTTTTCTGTGTTCTTACACTACTCCTCAAGCATTACTGTCAAAGTTTTATGCCTGCACAAATAAAGTTTAATATGTAATTAAGGACTCAGTCATCAAAGGTTGCTAAATAAGATTATGCATCTGTGGCATACCTGGCTAGCAGCGCTAACACCAGTTATGAATACTTCTTCCTCCTTGTGATATAATTCCCTCAGGCAAGGCACGTGGTTTCTGCTTTTCCAAGTATTCCTTGGCATATGCACGCTATGTTCATTCCAGAAGTTAGGAAAGTTAGATTGCAACTCCCATCATCCCCCAGCCAGCAGAGCTATTTCTGCTTCAGACACCATGATATCCCATGTTTGGGAATGTGCCCATTTTCTCTTGCCTTCCTTCATCATAGTTATAAGAAATAATTTGTTTTACTTTTGTTTTCATGGAGTTTAACATGGTTTCAAAACCTACCAGACTTACGATTAAGCTTAACTTTGCCTTGTCTGATACAAACCAATTTCAACAGAAAGGAGGAAACCATGAAAATGAACAATATCTGGCTAACAGGTTTTTTTTTTTAAAAACCTTTTAAAATCAGGACAAGAATCAATCAGGGCCAGCTAACACCTCCTAGCAAAGGATTCCCCCAGGCGGCAACCAGCCAAGCTTTGAAACTGCAAGGCCATTCAGTGCTAATCAAGGTGGCCAATTGCAACATTGACACTTGCCTCAAGCAGACAAGAGTGCTTTCTCCCACCCTAGACATTCCACAGATATTGTTTCCAATAGACCTCACAACCTCTGAGGATGCCTCCCATAGATGTCAAGAGAGACTTCTTCTGGAACAGCCCGGAAAACTCACAGCAACCCAAACCAATTGTAGTTAATGTAGCACATTTGTTTTGAACCAATCATAGTTAAGATTAAACAAAGTTGAGAGTGGATTGTTGTGAGTTTCCGGGCTATATGGCCATGTTTCAGAATCATGCTTCTAGAACATGACCATAAAGTCTTGAAAACTCACAACAACCCAGTGATTCTGGCCATGAAATCCTTCGACAACATGAAGTTGAGAGTGCAAATAAACAGTGAGTAATTTAAATTGAAATACAAAGCATAGGAGAAAGAGAGTACTGCCAGATGTAGACAAAGGGAGATAAACCCTTGGGATGAAGCAAAACCCGTTCCTGTTTAGTATGACAGGAGAATATATAGACATAAGAACTGAATGAAGCAATGAGAAGTGCCTACAGGCAGAAACTCAGTAAGACATGGATTGACCTTGCACCAGCAGTCCCTTAGATCAATCAATCAATTGTGGAACAAGCCAGGCAGGTTTGCAAATCCCACCACTGGCAACCCTAAAAGGAATGTTCCACCCAGATTTTGTCATTGGTTTCTGATCATTATTTTCATACTTCTGTGACCAGGAGAAGAGGCAGAAACAAGGTAGGGAATGGCAGAAGGTAATCAAAGGGACAGATTAATTACATGGGGAGGGGATTTGA